CCTTAGGCACAAAGCCAGCTGGGTGACCTTGGGCCAGTCACTCACTCTCAGCCCTAGGAAGAAGAAGACAATGGCAAGCCACTTCTGAAATCCTGCCATGAAAACTGCAGGGACTTGTTCCAGCAGTCGCCAGAAGTCAACATTGACTCGAGGGCACAAACACACAGAGAAACAACTTATGACCAGAACTGGCTGGCAAAACTCACCTTCCACTGCTTATGCAGTTTCCGCACAGCTTCCTGAAGGGTGTGTTGCTCTTGCTCAGGAAGGATGTCAGTAAGTTCATCACAAGCTTTCAGGAAAGCATTGAGCACCTTTTGGTCCAACTGACTGAAAAATTCCTGGTTTTGAAATTTTATATCACATATTTAAAATGTTAATATAGTTGTTAGGGGAAACAGAAGGTTATACTTTGCACTAAAGCAGGAAAATTAGATCGTATGACTGAGATTGATCTTATGAATGATAAATCTGGAATAGCATGCAATTACATCTATGCTTTTTTTCCTTGAAAAAAATGGGGGGGGGGGCTAATAGGAAGAATAGAAGTGGTTTAACCCTTTAATTTCCATATGATCCCAACCCATAATAAGCATCTTCAATTTTTTTCTTATGCAGATTATGAGGGCCTTCCACCTAGATCAAGACTAAAGCAAGGAGGAGAGGATTAACATTCCAGATCTTAGAGCAGTGTTTCTCTATCTTGGGAAGTTTAAGATGTGTGCACTTCAACTCCCAGAATTCCCCAGCCAGCCATGCTGGATATGAAAAAGGATGAAATAACTTCCTGCTATCTATTAAACACAACATAACATTTGGCCATCAGTAAGCAGGAACTAATGACTTTTTAGACATTTGTTATTGTTATTTGTGTGATCTACACTGTTGCTGTTTTTTAACAGACCTAGGACAAGACTTAGGATTCTAATTTGCAACTCTTCTTTAAACCCTTGCTGTGAGTAAACACAGCTATATGTTCATAATTTACATTATCAAGAACTAAAGCATCCAAGGACTTTCACATTATAGTCCTAAACATTATTTCAAAGATTAACTGTATGGTCAGGTTGCACAGCCTAAATATATCACTACGGAGAAAATACGTTAAACCTACATTTTTAAAATAAGTACCCAGTCAATCAACATAGAAGTGTTGATAATGGGTCATTAAATCCAGCTCTCTTTATGGAATTTGAATAACTGATTAAACTTTCAAGTGTTGCATGAAAAGACTTGATATATAAACAATATATACAATGTATTTACAGAAGACTCAACACATTATATATAGAACATGGTAAATGTACTATTTGCTTAGCATTTACAAAAATTCATTATCAAAGAACCTCATGGTGAGATCATGGAATTTAGTCGGCACAATGCAGAAGGAATATAACAGCAGGGCAGGAATGGTTTGTTTTAGTGGGGCTGGGCGGGCATCTCTTTTTTCCATGTCTGTGTATTAAAGCAAAACCAAACTAACTCCTGCCTTTTGGGGGAATGCTTTTGATTTCCTGGTTTAACCTACAGCCCTGGTATTTCCCAGCAGTTTCCACTCTGCTTGGCTTTTCTGACATTAACCATGGTTGGCTAGGTGCTGCCACTTGTGATTATTAACAATATGAAATGTAACAGCAACATGCTTTAAAAAGTTATACTTACAGTATGTTTCCGGAGAAGTTCTTCAGGGTTGCCCTTTTCTTTTAGACAGCATTGGGCAGTCTGGAGAACATTTTCCAGCTCTGTTCTAGATTCTTCAAATTTCTTCATCAAACGACTATTTACCTCAACATTTTTCTTCCAGTCATCTGTCTTCTGCATCATGTGCTTCATTCATAAGTGAAAATAGCAAAACAAAAAACAAAAAAAAAACTGCAATGCTACACAATTTGTCTTAACTGACATTATACTTTGTGCACTAACCAAAATTATAATCTACCCTTGAGGAAAAATACTACAATGTTTCTTTATTTCTGTCTTTACCAGGCCCAGGTCATGTCCCTGCATTTTCAATATTATGGGAAAGGAAAATTTCTTTCCTTTTTCCTTCAAGATTAAGTACTATCTGATATCAACAGCGCTACAATTGATTGCACGCAGTCTACAATCTCGTGGGAAAGGCTTCAAACTGTAGTCCAAATGGCTTAAATATCTGGACTTTAAAAAAAAGACACACCAAAAAACTCTTGTTGCTATTTCCTTATTCCCTGCTTTTCTGTAACATTTTGCCTCATGAAGAATTCATAAGAACAAAAAAGCTTGAATACTCCTTTTTATGTTTTCAAGTGACATTTATAAACAATCTGACTCCTCTGAAATTGGATCTATTTCAACATGAATGTGTCCTGAAAATAATTATAACATCTCAACTTCTTAATTAGTGCATAAGCCTAATTTACTAGACAGAATTACTAGAATTACTAGACATTAGAACATCATATACCTAGAGGTTATGGAGGGTAGAATTAATATTCCCAAAAAATTAAGAGTAATAATTTACCCTCGATAGCCCCTAGCTATATTCCTTTCATCTCACCTGCTCACAATACCATAAATATCTTGTTTAAGTGTAACTTGAACAGGACTTGTGATGTTAAGAATAATAATGTTTGAGATACATAGAAAGGAAGAAAGTCCTATTCCTTTGTCCAGGACCTGATGCTGACATGAAACATAGATCTCAGAGGCCCTCAAAAGATACTGGGGTATTGCTCTTATTCTGCCACTGTCCCAGCAAGTACAATTTAAGAGTAAGAAACTGAGTCAGGTAAAATGCAAGGGATAAGATAAATAAATCAGGATTTTAAATTTAAAGTGAAGAAGACTTCAAACACCTCACATCACCCATCCTTTCCTTAAGATGAATATTGCAAGTCCCTGAAAGTCTCACTAAAACCCAGATTGGTGTTTTTAGGCACTGTTAGCAACCATAAGTGATCTCTATCTTATATTAATTCCTTGTCTCCTAAAACTACATTTGTATTTTTCAAAAAAAGTTGCAATGATACTTGAGTATACTTGCCTTTAGCCCTGCAAACCATGTCTTTTAATTTGTTACTATTTGTACTGTTCTTTCTATAATTTCATTTATCAAAGGCTATTCTGAATTATTATTTTTTTCCATACTAAAGTTACTTTATCTTAATATACCTGAATCAAACTGGTTTTCTTTCACAGCTTTCTCATGCTGGAAAGTAATGCTAAACATTTACTGACATTACTGCAATTCAAAAATATTACCTGAAAAGCAGCTTGAATTTCTATCACTTTCTTCTGAAGTACAGAAAGGCTGAAATGATTTAACACTTTACTTGAAGCCACAAACTTTGTGATGATTTGACTATTTCTTTCAATTAATAACAAAGCTTTTTTGCAGTTTTCTTGATAAGCTACCAGATCCTTAAAAAAAAAAATGAAAATATTAAAATAAGGATATTGTGGACAGTAAGAAAAACAAAATAGATTGACAACTTTACGGTGTTTATTTTACACCTACTTTATTTTCTATAAAAGAATACTTAATTTTTTTCATCTGGTACAATTATGTTACATGTAGTCCTTGACTTACAACCATTTGTCAAGCGACTGTTCGGAATTACAACAGTGCTTAAAAAAGTGTCTTACAACTGGTCTTTGCACTTACGACTGTTGCAGCATCTCCACAGTCATGTGATCAAACTTCAGGCACTTGGCAATCAGGATATATTTACAACAGTTGCAGCATCCCGTGGTCACATGATTGTCATTTGCGACCTTCCCAGGGGACTTCTGACAAACAAAGTCAATGGGGGAAGCCAGATTCGTTTAACGACTGCGGCAAAAAAGTTCGTAAAATCAGGTGCAACTCACTTAATGACTGCAGTGCTTAGTGATGGAAGTTCTGATCCCAATTGTGGTCGTAAGTTGAGGATTACCTGTATACTATAGCAACTTAACTATTTAAATGCTATAATTCCATACACAGATAGCATTTATTGCAATCCTATTGCTCTGAATGATTCTTGAGAATTGGTACTGAAACAAGATTGTAGCTCTGTTCTTTTAATGTATCATTTTTGGGGGAAAAAAATTATAGTTGTAATTGAAATCCACAAAATGCCAAAAGTCTATTTCCAGACTGACATGTGCTGGAAACAAGTAATTAAACCCTAACATTTTAAACAAGTAAAATTGTAAAATACTATATACTGAGGTGGGGTGGGGGGTGGGGAACACCTTACTGGTGCATTAAAATATTTATAGTTGGAATATAAAAGTCACTTGAAAGTTTGCAACTCAGCAAAACAGCAAAAACAAACCCAATAACTGGATATACAGCAAACATATGTGTTAAAATATCACAAATTCTTACTAGGAATAATACAAGGTGTTACCTGGAGTAATTCAAAAGGTAAACCTTCAATGTTAGAAAATCTAATTAGAAAAAAATTAAACTATTTGGTTTCATTACAGTGCTATTAGATCACCAGTGTTACATTCCTTTGACTGCCTTCAAAGCTCTATTCGGGTAATGTTTTTATCAAACAAAATCTAGAATGTCTCAAAAGCTGCTTGTCTGACTGAAGTGGAGAATGGTGTCACACTAATGCATACAGTTTCTGTGAACAAACATGATTTTTGTTTGTGAAGAGTTTTTTTTTATAACCATATATAATAATGCTTATCCTGCTACATTTGTTTATAAAAATAGGGGACATGGATCATATGCACATATAGACATTTCTGATGAATAAGAGAGTCTTCCTTGTACAGTGTTCTTTTAATTTTTTTTACTTCTTAAAATTATGAAATACAAAACAGTTGACATCATTACCAAAAAAAAAAAAGAGATAAACAGTGAAGGGGAAAAAATGTAAATATAATTTAGTGACTAGAATAAATTAAATGTGACAAAAACTAGATTAAAATATTGATATAACTGTAAAGTTATGTAATTTTACATGTTTAATCATTTATCTTATCATTGAATCTAGACTATGCAAAGTCACATTGCACATTGTGCCATCTTCTGATTTTTAGAACATAGAGAATTTTCAAAAATAGATCACAGATTCATGTCCTGAATGAAATGAGATATTCCATGTTTTAGGAATATAATTCAACATCACATTAAGAACCTAAATTGGAATCTTTCTTCCAAAAATCATATTAACATATGCAATAATTTTATGCCAGAACAAGGCTATAAAACAGACGAAAATCATATGAGTTAAGGAACCATTAAATTTTTTACATCGCCAACATAAGACATTTAATGTCCATCCCTTTTTAAATATTCTTTGTGGAGTCCAATAAACATGTCACAATATTTTCTGGTGAATTAACTTAATATTTGAAAAAATTGGAAATATATTTCACATTTTTAACACCTGGACTCACCAATTCTTCAAAATCGGATATTCCAATTCTTCATTCAATACTTTATGAAACTGAATTGTTAGTTTCCCTTGAAGTGCTGCATCTCTTAAGAAAACTAAAATTGCAGGTGCTTCAGAGGCTGTTCAAGCATCCAGGCCATGCTGGTTGGTTAACATGTGTCTCAATTGTATATATTGCCAAGTGCATATTTCAGATAGATCAAATTTCAGTCCACAATTCTTACTATCTTTGGAAGCCCTCTCATAATCAAATCTTTCCTAGCCCTCCTGAGTTGCAAGAATCCTGGTATGGGAACTTCTGCATGTTAGACATGTGTGTTGTCCCTGTTCTATGTCCCACCTTTCAACTAGATATTAAAGTTAACATGACCTGTTTGTTAACTGACAAGACACTAACATACAAATTGTACAGAACAACTTCAGTTTAATATAGTCCAGTAAAAGGGAACTATGTGACTTAGAAATGTATTACTTAAAATTTTGTTTAAAGCTGAAAGTTATTCATAGATCAAATATTCATACTTTTTCCCCTAATAAACAGCGAAACAAAACATATTCTGAGGATTCACATGAGAAATACCTGATGTTGCTGTTTAAAAACATGAGCAGGCTGGGCTTCAGGATCTAGTACAGAAATAATTTCATTGATCTTTCCAAGGGATTCATGAAAATGTGTAATTTGTTTTTCTAATTCTTCAAGGTGAGGAAGTAATTCTTGTGAATCATAGAGTACAACTGGGCAGGAATCCTTAACCTAAAAGCAACAGAAATATTTTAAAAACCATGTATGAAAATATACAATGCTTACATATGATTGGGTGTGTTGGTATATGTGTGCGTATCTGTCTATATACATATGCGTGCCCATTTAAGGCAAAGTAAATCTCTTCAAGCACTAACACAGTTACTCAATTTTATGTTGATTTTTAAATAGGAGTCTTTATTTAGCGACCACAATTGGGACCAGCAACTCAGTCGTTAAGTGAAGCGGTTGCTAAGCGAAACCATGACCGTGCTTATGATCTTATTGCAGCTTTCCTTTGCTTTACAGACCTGCACAGGTCGTAAATGTGAGGATTGATCATAAAGTTACTTTTTCATCACTGTCATAACTACGAATGGTCACTCAATGAGGTAGTAGCTAAATGAGGACTACCTGTATAGCTAGTATTCATTGGCATATTTGCATAAGTAAAAAGTTTATTTTCTGATATCCAGTAGTGATCTGCTGGATTCATCACTAGCAAAATGAACTCCTCCCTTCTTTGTGCATCTCCACAAATTTGCTTTTGTGGGGAGAGTGACTGGCCGTAGAGCATGAATAGAAAGTATTTGCGCAATATGCTTTTTTCAGTCCAAGGCTTGCAGCCTTGTTTTATGTATCATTCACACTCAATTTCCTCTTTTTCTTATTCTAGTCCTCTTTATGTTCCCTTTTATTTTGCCAACAATATCTGGTTCATTATCTATAATTGCAGTTCTTCATCTGTGTTCATCTGTGAATTCATACAAGGGCCATGGCTCATGCAAAGTCCCATCTGGAGCTGTCTAGAGCTTAGGAAATTCTTGTAGAGGAGCCACATCCTCTACAAATACCACATGACTATGCACAGCTCCAGCTGAACTCCTTCAGCTCCTAAGACTGGCCCAGTAGATATGAAGTTATAGCATGGTCAACTGAGACCAAGTACAATAGGAGGTTGGGTTGTGTGAATTTACAGATAACTACAAAAAGTACCGCAGTACAGGAAAATATCCAGTTCTTCTTGTCATGGTCTCTGTGATTCACATAGATGGGTATCAAGCTTTTTACCTGGAGAAGGGTTTAGTCATCTGGAGTGACCTTATAAAGTAGAGTTGGAGAAGGCCTTTGTTGAAGCTATTGAAGCTGGAACCAGAGAAGCAACAGGTTCTTTATCCCTCTCTTTCATTTTGCCCTGGATAGAATTTGCTGTGGCATGCCACTTAGAAGATATAGAATTATTAATTTCTTTGGTGCTGTTAACAGCACAGCAAAGATATAAGGATCCTCTGTGGGAGATGGAGAATTTCCTCAAGCTCACAAAGAGACAAGGGAGCAGTAAAACAGTTTTGGAGGCATAATGGGAGGCTTGAAGGAAGATGAGATGTCTGCAATAGTTTCAGGATCTGTTGTCCCTAAAGGCTGCTCCCAGAGTGTAACTTGCAAACTAGTACAACACTATGTGAAACTATTTAGTAAATGCCAAAATGCTTGGAAGAGTCTTCTATGTGACCTTCACTAAGATGCAGTTTATGCCCATCTTGAAGAGGTAAGGGTCAGGGTTTGCTCCTGCCATGCTGGCATTTGTGAAATAGAGCCCATAGATCTTAAGGCCAAATGCCAGATGCCTACAAGAGGAGGGCTTTGGAAAACTCTAAGGAGTTTTGAGAGAAGATTAAATAAAATAAGAAAACAAAAAGGAGAAAAATAATTTTGATAAAATAGATTGACAATCAACTTAAGGCTGAACATGATAATGCTATGGCAGTAAAAAATGAAATGAAAATCAACTCCATGCATATTATTCACCCACCAACAATTATCTAAGCTCAAGAAAATTCTGAACAAGACTGTGCCCTCGTGCATAACCCATGTCCGTAAAACACAGAGACCTTGATAAAGAAGTAGCACTGTCATTTCCTCTATTTCTTTTTGTTCTCTTATTCTAAGCCTGGGCTTTGTATGAACAGGTACAACGCAAAAAATAATTATAAAAAAATGTGATAGAAAAGATACATACAATGTTCTGCATTTACTTTAGTTATAAGCTAGCCAAGGGGTAGGTGGGGTCAAAGATGGGCAGATGGCAAACACATCTGATGAGAACATGAAATAAGTTTAAGGAAGGTACTATTAGATGGAAGCAGTTGGAACATACTGAAAGTTTCTGGGCTAGTCCTAAAGGGACTGGGGATGACAGAATAATTAAAGACAGTGAAGAAACATACATCAATCCCAGCCTTATCTCCCTCACTAGAGACTGGGGTAGCTTTATGAAATTACTTGAATAGCAACTACCTTGCTGAGCTGTCCCTTGATTCTTGACATTCTTGCAAGCATTTCATTGACTTCTTCTTGTGGAATTTCCTTGGTAACCACTTGTGCTGTCCTTGTGATCATCTTGTACTGGGATTCCATAATGAGTGCTTTTTGTTTAATATCCTGTAATATTTTTGTTCCAAATAACTATGTGTAAAAATACAAAGCTTTTAAAAAATGGAGCTCAGTCTCCTATTAGTTGTAGAAGAGAAGACCAAGCCTTATGAATGAACATCCTTTCCTTTAGTTGCATTAATTAATGGCATCTCATATTATATGCAACATACCACAACCGTTTAAGGAGCATAATCTGATGCATCTGAACTTTGAACAGTTTTTTAGTGCAACATTTTTGTGAAATTACTTCATTAGAACATTCATTAGAGATTCATTTCTATGCTTCTAAAATGTGTTCAAAAGAAGAAACAGTGTTGAAAATAATGTGTTGGAAAGAGGTAACAATTCCATTTAAATAGTTCACACTGAAAATTTTTGTTTAACATTTAAGGGAGATCAAAGCACAAGGAGAGGCATATGATTTACAAGGAACAAAGTATCTTAGAGTCACAGCAGGAAAGCGGCATAGCAGTTAAGAGAACTATAAGTACTGCATATCTCCCAAAATCCTTCAAAATGTTCTTACCCCAAAAAGCAGAACAAAAGTCTACAGCAGTACTATAAAGAAATAAAGCTCAGCTTCTAATGAACTTGCCTCCATTTCTTGGACAAACAGCTTTACATTTAGAAATGACACTTCTAAAGGTACGTGGATTTTCCTCTTTGCTTCGTCAATGAAAGCAGACAGAGCAGCCACACCATCCAAGTATTCCTTCTTTATTCTGTCTAATTCATCAGCCCGAGCATACTGTGAAAGCACAGAAAACAGACCAGACAATGTAGAGATAAGGAAGGGTCAACAGAACATTAAGCACACAATGGACAAAAGTTTACATTTCATTCAGGATAATTCTATAGATTCTCTTAAGAAATAATGTGTTTTTGTTTCAGCACTAGAAATAGAATGAGTGATATACAAATCTTTATCTAAATTGAAAAACTGAATTACTTATTAACACAATACTGTGCATTAATGGAGGGAAAGCCTCCAAGGACATACTTGTTTAACTTGCATAAACAATTCTCTCCAGCGTCCATTCAGCAAGAGCAATTGTTGTTTTAAATCTCTGGAAACAGTCTCATCACATGTTTCAATCAGAAAATTACCAGCATCATTCATTGCAGTATGTTGCTGAATCCATTGTGGTAAATGCCGGAAAAAATCCTAGGAAGAACATAACTAGTATTGCTGAAAATGTTGTAAATCATAATTATATGAATGTTCAATTTCCCCCCAATTTCCTTTTATACTCAGCATGCAATGATCATCCTATTCTTTTATGCTAAACATTTCTCAGGAAGTTATTACAACCACCAAAATAAAGAGGAAAGTTCAAATCAAATCAAATCAAAATATAAATTTAGGGCACCCAGTCATAACCTTGTTTTTATTTCAGTTATTTATTTATCCAAAATATTGATATACACCTTGTCATATGAACATATTCAAGCAGTAGACAGCAATAAACTTCCATAAGAATACAACATTGCAATGTAACATAACTTTAAAATAATATAAGCTCCTTAAATTACTTATCTTAATTATTGTATTTGATATAAAATATGCACACATATATAAATCTTAGGTGCAAATAAGCAGGAAATCCTTCTAAGAACAATATCTCGAAGAAACAAAGAAACTGGGTCTAATTTTGATAGACAACATATATTGAGAATGGATGGCAAGAATGCAACTTTATTGGTTCTCATGTATGTTAGTGACAATGGTGTCCATCCATCTACTCTGGCTGGGTTTGAGCTAGGTGGCTTAATATTAAGCTGCCTCTTGCCCTTCCTTGTTAGGAATCATCAGATAAGCGTGGCAGAGATTTCTGTATTAACCATGAGCTTTTTTTATTGACCATGGTATTCAGTCTATTGGATACTGTAGAAAGTGCTATTCAGTTGCATATATTTTATTCTCTCTCTTACATTCTCTCTCTCTCTCTCTCTCTCTCTCTGTCAGATTTTTCTAGGCAAACAACAGGAGCAGGTGCAGGAATTCAAGGATGCAGATCTCTGATAAGTCAATCTGTTGTAAGAAAGACTAATCAAGCTATTATGAAAGAATCCCGGTGACTACTACGTATCAAATGCAAGTTCTATTTAGTGTATTATGAAAGTTCACATTCTTGTGCCTTTTCTCCCATCCACATGGGGCAATAGGCTTGAGCCCTCTATTTTTGAAGTGGGAGAGATAATTTCCACCTATCCTTTGTTATTGTAATGCACTAGCCTAATTTCAAGCTATTTGCCTCCAACCTCACACCATCATTGAAAAGCCATGGGGAAAAATTATCCAGATGTTTGAATTTAAACACGACCGAGGAATTCATGGACTCCAGATCGTATGTCCCCTTCTCACTTGCTGGCCATTCTCAACTTACAGATGTTGGAAATATTAACTATTCTGCATTCCATATTTATGTATACCTCACCAATGCTTCAATTTATGGCATTATCAAGTGGGTTTGCTTCATTTCCTACCACTAGCTAGGCATGAAGACAGTTTTTTTCAGACTGCTTTTCAATTCTGAGCTAAAGGCTGAGGCTTGGAGAAGGAGAAAGAGTAGTAATAGTAATGGTAGTCATCATTTCAGATGTGGAAGCTCACCGGGTGATGTTGAGACAGTTACTGCCTCTCAGTCCAACCTGTATCCAGGGCTGTTGGATATAAATCTAACAAATATACGGCAAAATAATAAAGGCAACACATGAACACTTAATACACAAAATGTTCCTTACCTTTTTAGCATGTTCAGGCTGATTCAACATTTTTTCAGCATCTTCCAACCAGGCCTGCAGAATGGCTACTGTACTGCTGTATCGATCCCAATTAGAAATGACTTCTTCTAACATACTCCTGACACTTCTCACTTCAACTGACAGGTGCCTCCACTGTGTTGTTGTCTCATTCATGAACCTCATAATGTTCTCTATTTCTTCCGCTGAAATATAGTACTGGGGCTTTAATATAAATCTTGGATCAAATGAAATATTCCAATATAAAATAATATTAATAACAAACACGCTATAATCATAATACAAATAATTACATGAGTACAGTTTCACATACATTATTTCAGTGACTCTTATTTAAGCAATGCAACATTGGCATTATCCCTAACCATACAGCAGTTGTGAGAGTACACTGAAGCTAAATAGTGGTGTCTTACTTAATGCTGATAAATGTACCTTCTTTACTATTAAATGTTATTTTAAGGCTAAGAAACAAAAGTATGTTATTTTGTCTTTAATTGCATTTCATATATATACATACACATACACCAGGGTTCTCCAAAGTGGCCAATATCGACCTCCAAGGGTTGATGGGACTATCCAAGTAGTTGATGTTATTATTATTATTTGTGGTACTATTAGTTAAAGTAATATTTATTAAATTATTTTCATATACTAAATTGATGAACAATCTGACATTTCATGAATGGGTCAATGAGCTGAAGAGTTTGGGGACCCCTGACGTATATGGATAGACATTTAAGCATAGCAGCACTCTACTGCTATCCTATACAAAGTTGGGAAAACAGAGTCCACAGTGACTAAGCATCCCTCCTAGATTATAAAGTCATTAGTACCTGGCTGCACTGTGCATCATATTGGGAATTCCTATAGGGCTCTGCAAAGACATCAAAGAGCCACTTTGCAAGGTGTATTGCCATGGGAAAAGTTCAAGGAGATAAAACAGCTGCATTCTCCAGAAGGTTTGGCATGGCTACTCCAAATGTTTTCCCTGGTTGCCTTCACACACCAGCTGTTTCACTTGTGGTCCAAATGGAGGTGTTATCTGCATGAGCAAACCTACAGAGATAATTGGGACAGTCATCAAAGCAGCTGTGATGAGCCTTCTGGGGCACACACTGCTTTAAGACGTCACAAAGTAAAGCCAATACACTTTGCAAAGAAAGCCTCTTAAATGTTTTGCCAATCTCTAGTGTCTTTTACTTCTTCCCCAGCATTAGGTACAGCACCTGTGGCCGCAATTATTACTTTCTGGTCTCACTGCAGAGATAGGACGAAGGGCATGGCCTTCATGACCCTAAAAAGTTGGTTGCAGCTGAACAAATAGGAAGACAGGAAGCAGAGTACAGTTTCAATTTGGAAAGTAGATCAACACTGAAATCAATGTAGATATGCATAGTAAAAAGCTGCATAAAATCTTAAAAAAATTGCATAATTGGGTTATCAATATGACATTCAAGTATGTCCCCTAGCATGATTATAAATTCCATCTCCATAAAAAAAGAACATGCTGGAAAATGTTTACCAGGTTAGGAAAGGATTATTGCTCTGAAATGTCTTCATCTAGTTATTCATGTCCTCTGCTCTCACACACATGGACTCCAATTTTTTCATTTTCCAAATTGCTTAGCAACAGCTCAACTTGATCTAACAATAAGAATAATGCTGAACAAAAACACTTCTACTTACGTGACCCATTAGCACTGGCATACATCTCAGCTGCTTTTTTCAAGATCTGGTATGTAACTTCATACTGTTCAAAAAATTTGTTGTTTTCTATAACAGTCTGAAAAAGGAGAAGAAAAATTATATCTACAATACAGCTTATAAGAAAATAGATTATTAAAAAGTTTATTATATCCATTAAGCTTTTTTTAAAGGTTCATCTTCCATAGCTTTTTTTTTTTTTACTTTACTATATATATTAAACTTCTTTTTTTAGTTTTATCTTTCACCTTGTATCTTGGAAAAAATATGCAAAAACGCCTCTGATGTTAACCCTGTTGACACCATATTCATATTAATTATAAAAAAAAGTAACTAAGGATGATGTGGAATTACAGTGAAATAAATTAATCTATGAGATCCAGTTTGGTCTAGTGATCTAGGCATTGGACTGGGAGCATGGAGACCTGCTTTGGATACAGAAATGAACTGGGCCAGGTCATTTTTTCTCAGCCCTAGGAAGAAGCTGCCTAGAAAACTGCAGAGACTTGTCCATGTAGTCACCAAGATTCAAGACTGACTCAAGGACAAAATCATTATCATCCACAGGGCAGCCTACACAGAATCAGACCAGTGGTCAATTTTGCTCATGAAGGTCAGTGAAGATGTCAGCAGCCACCCGGGATACCAGATAGAGAAACCTAAAGAATGAACCTGAGACTTTCTACATGCAAATTATGTCTCCTATTACTAAACAATTTTCTCTACAGGCACACTACAACAAAAGTTAAGTAAAATTTATGTCTTATTGCTAAGACTCCCAAGTCTGGGCTACAAAAATCTAGATGGGAGTAAACAATAGGAGTTGCCTGTATGTCTTCATTAACCTTTAGTCATCTGGATTTTTTCAGCCCAGCTCTTTTAAACAGAAATGGTTAAGAACATACTTCATTCTCCTGGTGAGTCCCTAGGCCTTACAAACAAGGCACCAAAAAGTATGATTCTGTTTTCTGATGCTTGTTTTTTTAAGATATAAGTATATTTAGTAGAAGTTATAGTAGCTAATGCAACAGTCATTTGGCCTTATTATCTATTGTACGTACCTGTAGTATGGCATTAACATTATAAATTGACCCAGGATATAGACCCCCACAGAAGGGAAGATTGCCAGACTGATACAGATAGAAAATCAAACCAAAAGTTGCTATGAAGCCAGAAAATCAGAGAAAATAAAATAATAAAGGGGGGGGGATAACATATCTACAACCCTATAAAATGATCAGTCACTTATTCTAGTTCGATTGAACCAGTGCAATTAGTACAACCTCTCCTCGTTTAGTGACTGCATTCCATTCCAATGATTGGGTTGTTAAACAAAATGGTTGCTAAGTGAATATGTGAGAGAGAGAGAAGACAGATGTTGTGAAGATCACTGGTTGCTATGTCTCATTCAGATACAGTTATCACATACAATGTCCTGTGCCTGACCCATTTTCCCCCTTTTTTTGTCCCCTTGCAGGGTGGAGGAATTGCTTAAACAAGCTATCTCCTCCTGAGCTGCTTTTCTCCACAGTGCAGTTCCTTAAAAAGTCCTAACCACAAGTTAACAAGGTCAGCTCTGTGACTTTAAATTAGTTGGTTAAAACCTTCCCACCCACTCCTGCTGCTGCCTGAAACTGACCAAACCTTAATCACACTGAAGGCTTTTGTTGTCAGGCACACAAAATTTGGTCATAAATGTGGGTATTGTTTGGAAAATATTTTTTTTTACCATTGTATTTGCGAATGGTCGCTAACCAAAGTAGCTGGTAAATGAGGAATGGATGTATATGCTAGCAAGCTTATTGTACTGAAGAATGGCAATGACATTGTCCTCTCATATAATGTCACTCAGTAATCCTTTCTTTTTTTCTTAAACCCTCACACAGATACTAAATCAAAGCAAATGAGCATGTATCTTAGCTCCTTTTCTTTCCCAAAGCATACAGACTCCAAATGCTGCCCCTCCCCAATAGTTCATCTAGCAAAGAAAGAAGATTGTTAGTAGCATGCAGTCTGATTCATATAATATGTAGTTTGTATGTAAGACCATGGGAGGGAGGGAACTTAACCGAAAAAAAAGGTTTTATGCTTTCTTTGTGCACCATTTAATCATACTAACACAGATCAACTTTAAAATAAATATCACTTTTAAATAAATCTGTAGTACTTTTCAAGATCTAAACCAGTTGCAACAATAAGGAAATAAAATTAATCTTTTCCCTTGAATGTGCTTGGCAAAATCTTCAAAGCAAATTGTAGGCTGCGATACAACAATGCATACTTCGTGGCCAGAATAAGATTTATGGAGTCCTTAACCATTCATTTCTTTGAACAGACATGGTTCTGCTTGGTAACAGATTAACCCTAACTGATTTGGAAAAACATAAACTTTAGTAATCAAAGATATTTAAATAATTTATATTATTATTCACCATGGTACTGCAGATATGTCACCTACTTATGTCAGACAATTCTTTAAAAATATGCAGTGGTTAGAATTTTGCATTAAAATACCCCAAAATTAAAAGGCCAAAATATTAGTGAAAATATGTATGAGCAAATCATAGGAAGCAAAAATGGAAAGTTTAATATACTACTATGATTAACAGGAGAATGACACAAGAATATATGACTTTTAGCAATAAAGTTCCAGCAAGCTATTTTTTCAAATTTATTTAAAAAGGCCAAGTTGCAAATGTATGAGATCTCTTGATTATTAATCATGCAACTCTGAAGAATAATCTTTCTAATTTCTCTGTATGTGTAGTATGAGTGCAATATTTCTTTGTTTTATTAGATTTCTGGATTTTCTTCCTTCTTCCCATTGTTACAATTATATTTTGTCTAATAAAGTGTTCTGGAGAACTTAAAAGGTTGCACACTCTTTTATGCTGCCTTGGTTGGCCCTACCAAACTATGATTTTTGGAATTACATTACATATTGCTTTATATATGCCAATAAGTTGGGACAGAGGAAATTTATATACAGTAGCAATGTTGTACTATTTCTACTCATACAAAGCAGCAAATAACTAATTGCACATTTAAATGGCTTCAGTCCATTTAACAGGGCAACTGAATGGACTGAAGCCATTTAAAACAGGGCAATCCTGTTAAATGTGCAACTACTGAAAAATAGATCCCAAGTAAGCCTAAATGAGTAAAGTAAGCCTCTAAAGGTTTTCAGTTCATGTTAGTTCAAGTAAGCTCTCATCAAAATCAGTGGAAGTTAAATCATTTAATTAACGTCACCTAACTAAATTAATGTCACCTAACTTGCCTAACTTACGATGAATGTCATTCAACATATGGAGCAGTTGCCATATTGAAAGTTTAGGCATATCTGACATGTAACACTGTCTTCTGCAAAGTTAGATCATTGGTTCATCTAATGAAATACCTTCTGTGCTGGTTGACACCAGCTGATTAGTTTTTTAAAAAAGAGCTTTTTCCAGCTCCATTAGATGATGTCAAGGAATGAAGAGGGACCTTCTGTATGTAAAACAAGTATTTATGACCAAGCTGGAGTCCCAATCCCCAAAAGAATGAGTCAAACCCTCAGGGTTAAGCAAAATCCTGATAAATGCTGAACACACACACACACACACACACACTCTTAAACATCGTTGCTGAATGATCAGCTCAATTCTAGGGAACGTGATCCATCTGCAATGTGCTTGATATAGCATGCCTCGCCTACATGATAAAAAAAATGACAGTCTGTGCTTTGACTCACATGATGTGGGAAGCTTCATGCCCACCTATCTCCTTGCAGTTCTGTTCTGTTTAAAATATATCAATCCAGGAGCATGATTGGGAAAAATAACACTATGCTATCATATTAACTGTTTGTGTTCTTTTTTTCTTAAAATTGCACATTCATAAACCATGGTAAACTTGCCATATAATTCTGAAGAAGCAGCTCAACAGAATCTCTTCTTCCATATTTGATAATCCATAACTTTAATTTTGATTCGGCCAGGACCAAGAGTGACAGCAAGCGGTACTTCAGTTCCAAGAACTCCATTTTCAGCAGATGGAGATCAGATGAAGAGGCAACAAAATTAAACCTAGACATGAATCACCTCATAGTTAAACACAGAAACATTCAATGAACAGAAAATTACATTTTCATTCTGCAAACCATGAAAACATATTAAATGCTGAATTTTCCTTATTCTATAGGCTGCTTATTAATAGCCAAACCAAACTAGTGACTATGTTTATAAAGTGAAGAAACGTATGACTCACTGTTCAGTTCTAAACATGTTTACACAGAAAGAAATATATTATATAGAGCTTGTTTTCTAGTAAAGATACTGATAAGAATTACAAACCAAAATATTTTTATTAACCAGAGATCCCTTTCTCTCCTCCCCCATAAACATTCCCATGATGTTGTTACATAATATTTCATCTTCTGCTAGGTAGCAACAAAACAAACAGCTTTATTGCATTTTCAAAATCTATAGCTTATTTACTTTCAAGTATTTTTTCAATCATTTCAATGATCAGGAAAGATAATAACAGTACTTGTTTCCTCTGCTATTACAAACCCTCTTGAAAACCAGAGACTGATTTCAACAGAAATGAACAACATTTTGTCATTGCAACATTTAAGAATGAATTCAGACTTACCTCTCAGCCATATCCTCAAGCTGCTCTAACGGAATAGGGACTCCATTGACAGACTGAGCTCGGCGGATCTCCTGGAATGTCCTTTTGTAACCATCTACATTTTTAAGCATGTCCTAATTTGGATTTTTTTAAAAAGAGAGTGAAGGGAAAAATAAAAGGTTCACAGCAGGCAATTTTAAGGAGTACAATTTTTAAAGCTGCACTGATGACTCAATATATGTTTGTTCAGGCTGTCACACTTATGGGTGAGGGAAAGCATTTATAGCAGCTTGAGCTTCTTCAGAACAAAAATGCTTTTTGAGATATTTTGCTGTGCCCCAATAATTCTGGCATATTATAAATCAAACAATAAGGCCATTGCCTAAAGCATTTGGAAAACATGTTGCTTGCTACCACCAATCAATCAATATACCTATCAGTTTATGAACTCTACCCCACTTATTGCACAATGCATACAAAGCGCACACACACACACACACACACACACACACCATTGGTATTTCCTCTTTAAAAACCCAGAGTCAGATCTTTTAGAGTCACTGCATCTTTAATGCATAGTGAACTCAGAAATATGGCATAAGGCTGGCTGAATTCTGTATTCCATACAGAAGTGACTGTAGCTTCTAAAGCATGCATCCGGTAAAATATAAACCAGAATAAGCCTAACATCAGGCTTTTTTTTTTCCCTGTAGTATCTAAGCAACAGTACTTAGTGACAGCTATTTATTAAAATGAATTACCAGTAATCATCAGATAAGAAGTATCTTTAATAAGAATACGCCAAGGAACATTTTTCTACTAGTCCTAGTTTAATTAGACTAGCAACAAGGTGGTATGAATAGGTAAGTTTCTGTTTTCCACCTGCCATGATTGTAATGAAGCTAAATTGAGATAAACCATACCAATGGAGTTTTTTTTTTAAGTTGCTGTTCTGCTATCTACTATTACTCCACTTCCAACTGAATACAGTTAAAAGATAAAAAAGGAATTCTCTAGTTACAATCCAGAACATTCTTTATGTATTTATACTGAATAAGACAGGTTAAAGTTATCTTAAAAAAACTATCCTATCCACACAATGAAAAGTGCTATCATTTGTCTAAGACTAATAAAATCTATGATAGCATGAAGTATAGGTCAACATGTCCAAATCTTTGGGCAAATGAATCATTAGTCAAGTACAAATGTTGAGATAGCATGCAATGCATTATTAATGCAAGCTTCCTTCACTTTGATTGAAGTGTTATTTTTTAACCTCTTGCACAATGAGCGAGAAAGCAAAGCAACAATGCTCTATTTCTTCCCAAAAATTTATTCAGCCATATCAACAATTCATACAAGTATTCATAAATCTGGAATGCTGGAGTGGCACAGGAACTTGATTAAAAGGGAGAAATCATTAAAAAAAAAAATCACCTTCCCTCCCCATATTCTCTTCACAGAAGCTTCTATTAGATCAAATCCCACTGTGAGATGGTCCTAATTTACTTCGGTGGGGGGCTTTGCCTACCGAGACAGTGCTTTTGCCACCGAGAAACAGGGGTGACACTATTAATCTCAGCAAGAAGGGTACTATGTACCACTTCATCTGCTCGTCCACTATTCCTCCAGAGGAGGCAATCAGAGATATAAAGTAAAGCTGTCTAGAAGCAGGGGATACATTGTTTGGGAAAGCAGCTTCACTTGAAGCATTTCTTTTAAATACATATTTTTATTGAACATTTACTTGAAGCATTGTTGAAGTAAAACATTCCTTCAGAGCTTTTCCTGGTCCTAAAATATAAGCTATATGTATGCAGCCAGAGCACTAGCCATTATTAATAACAGGAAAGTTTTGTACCTTACCATATATACACACAACCATTCCTCTTTCCCAGATCTCTCTTCCAAAAATCACAGCAATAGCATAGGTGTGATGCCCCCAAAGTTCAAGTTAAGTGCCACCACTGATGCATTTTATATATTTCAACAAAGTAACATTAGCATCACTAAAGTGGTCTTTTACTTATATTTTAATTATCCCCAATAGGGATTATTACCTATTAATATGAAAGATAAATAAAATACTTATAAGCTATTGAAAATATTCCTCAGTTCCTCCTTAATCTTGTCTTCTTCTCATTTAAGAGATGTACACAATTAAAAAAAGTTTTCTCAGTAACAGAAGTAATCATGAAACAGATTGACTAATGGTTCAGTTTAACTAATTAGAAGACAATAACATGTTTATTTAAATTTATTTATTTATTTATTTATTAAATTTATAGGATACCCCAATTTGTTATAACTTTTACAAAATACAATAAATATCAATAAATACAGAAAGGTGTATAGGTAGTTGTATATAATACATAAGAAGAATATTAAATGTAATTAATTCAAGTCCCCTTTTTAAACAAATGAGCTGCATAATTTTAAAATAAAAATAATGTGTTGGCTCAAATTGAACTGAGATACATATTGAGTTGTTCAAAAGAAAAACCTGATCAACAGCACAATTCTATAGAATGTCATTTTGAAGTAAGTCCCTAATAAAAACAACAGGGCAAAATTACATAATTGTATTTCTTTCTCTCCTTTTATTGGGGGTGGGTGGGGAAATACGTTTGATTTCAAGACTAGAGCAGATACTTCCCACTTTTGGCTTCCTTCTACAAATGCCAGAGAGTTGCCTTATCCTACTAGATGCCCTCCTGGCTATTGGAAGGACAATTCCCTCAGTTCCTGACAGTTAGCCACACTGACTGGATAGCCTGGAACTGTACTCCTAGCTCAGGAGAAAGCTAAGTTGAAGAACATTTTTGTAAAGTGCAACAATAAGTCTACCAGGAAGCAAAAGCCATGTATTTTCCAGCACAGAGTCTTCTTTCTATTACTGTGAATATACCTTGGCCTTCTTTCTTTCTTTACAGCATTTCAGAAGTCACTCATGCTTCCAAAACATCATGCTCCCATATGTATAATAAAACTTAGGGATAATATTGTTGAACTGAAAACATACAAACCTTATGCTGTTCAAGTTTCCTATGTAACATATCTGCTGTTTCCTCATGAGCTTGTTGAACAGGGATTTCTTCTCTAAGAGATGTCTCAGCCCTACATAGCCAGGCTGCAATAGGGCCCAGTGGAGCAGGAAGAGATTTATCAAGATACAAGTGCCATTCAAAAAGCTGGAAAATAGGAACATTAGGAGGATTGGTATTCCACTTCCAAGCTTTATTTTGTTCCCCAAATATGTAGTACAGCATCAAAAGAATTGCAGAAACAAAGGGGAATACTAAGAAATTTTGACTGAATTTGAAAATCTTATAACATGTATTGACAAACATCTGTTGGGTTTAATTTATAAAGTAATAGCAAAATATGACTCAGAATCCACACAAGTTAAATATTATATGTTCAAATTGATGCAAAATTTGAATATAGCAATAAAGATGCAAAGATGGAATTTCAATGGAAGAAGAATATTAATTGATTGTGATGATTATATTTAGAGAAAATTGTTATTTTTACCATTGGTGTATAACCCAGTTTCAATTGCTAAAATGGACAACTCCTTTTCTAACAAATACTGGATAGGTAATGAACAGGTTAGATAATCCATCCATGTGTGGTGACACTGCTGTATAGTCCAACAATTCTGGAAAATGATTCATAGTAGAATAGAAAAAATTTGACAATTGAAATCTCATTCCAATCTGAGATATCCCTCCAAAATATACCAAACTAGCTCTTTTTGTGTTAACAGCTGCAAGGATTTTATATGTTACCTACTGGAAAGGTTGCTTGATTCCTTCTTTGGAAGAATGATTAATTAAATTATGGGAATATGCTTTGTTGTCCAAAATAACTTTGTATTTAAAAAGTTAATCTGATGCAGGATTCAATTCTAATCAGGAACCACTTTTGGATTATAATTTTATATGTGGATTTGCACCACACCCCAAATTTGGGGTCTTTTAAATACAGAATCTAGATTTTTAATTTCATGGAAACTTTGATTTTTAATCTTGATTTATCTAGTGTAGTTTATAATCTTAGTGATTTATACTGTGTTAACCAGATATTTTTAGTTTAAAGCTTAAGAAGGACTTTCAGCTTCCATATTAAATACTGACATGATATATTTTATAATATCGTAAGTGATTAATCGTATTCTGGAAAATAGCAGTCTTTATGATATGTTAGACATTTAGCTTATCCACCTGTATATCATTATTTGTACTTTGCTCTTTTACCTTTTTAATATGTTTGGTATCTCTTTTTACTTATGTATTTTTTCTAAATAAGATTGATAATAATAATCCTAAAGACAGCTATACATCATGATTTACAAATCCAAAGGCCTTGGATTCACACAATGCACTTAAACCAAAATCGAAGAAACCATATATTCTTTAGCATGATGCATGGAACAATCACCTTTGCCAAAAATAAGGGTTATTATTTTGCCTTAAGAGAGCCACCAATCCAGACTACAATCACATCAACAGATGGTATATAGAGAAAAGGAGGGGAGAAGATTCTCCAGACTTAGCGAAGAGGACATTCCTGACTAGTAAAACAAACTTAGAAATGTCACAGCTCTTTGTGTCATGCTGTAACAATCTGCCACTTTCAACTCCCAATGCCAATAACTCTCTTGCAACCAATAAAGGTTCAAAGAAAAGTTCATTTATTGAGAAAAAGTGTACAGGTCCAAAGCATTGCTAAGACTGAGCCTGCACGTCCCAAAAAGTTACTTTTACCCCCTTTGGTTCCCATGCTTCCCCCTTAGCCTTCCAGACATCCTCACATTCGCCCATTGGTATAACCTTGAGCGTTCCTGCATTCTGATAACAGCCCATCTGCTTCTAATGTCTTCCCAACTCCCCCCCCCCGCCCCCACTTCTTCAAATGGCAGAACAGAAGCAAGCAAGCTGGCAAACAAAGTAGTTAATTGATTGCAAGGATTCTGACACATGCATTTCTACAAAGGCCCTGTGAACTAGTTCAGGGTCTGTGCAATATCATCTAACTTTAAAAATCCATCTTTGGATGTTTTCTTTATTCACCTCTTTAGAACTAAAGATAAGTGTCCAAGAGTTGAAAAAAATGTACAGCAACTTTTTTTCAATTTCTGAATAATTTGCTTATTTAAAAATGCATATTTTAACATGAACACTCACAAATATCTGGCTTAGCTTTGCACAGAGGTAAAAGTTGGTGGGAAGACAATCATTTAGTTTAAGGTGTCTTCTAAACTTACTTGAGAAGTAACTTTGTCCCAGGCTTGCTTCACCAGAGCTTGATCGAGAGAGAGTTTGCCATCCTTTCTTAATGACTGGACTGCACGTTCAACTTGTTTCCTCTTTGCTTCATATTGTACTTTGCAATGTTTGAATGACTGCAAGAAATATTGGAGAGCAAGGATACAGTGTTATTTATTTATCTACCAAATTAATAAGACTGCCCATCCTCACAGTGACTCTGGGCAGCATGCAACACTAAAAACAGTAAAAAACAATATAATAAAGAGGAAAGAATCTTTATGAAAAGAAAGATTGGTTCAAGGCTAGCAGTTCAAAATCTAAGTCCAGCATTCTCCAATTCATTGCCCTCTTTATCTGTTGGACTAACACTCCTTTAATTTACAGTCAGCATGGCTTTTTGGCTGATATAGCCTTTCTCAATCACATTCTGTTCTTCTGCTGGAACTAGAAAATCAGAAATACCTGGTATTTCTCTTGCAAGCTTGCTTCCATCATTTGTGTCCTTGTCAAGTCTCTTTCAAACTGTTCAATCCAAATTTTCAGATCTCTTAGCATCAGTTGATCTTTCTATGACAAATAAAAAGAGAATTCAATTCAAATCGAAATCACATGTATTTAACATGTAAAATCACAGGCATATGAGATCATGAGATACCAGTTTCATTTTTCAAATGGGTGTACATGTTTTTCCCCACTTCTTTGTTTTTTCATGAAATCTGAGTCAGTAGGACTTCATGGACATAAAAGCAGACTTTCTATAATTTACTGTTATCCAACAGTCTGTTCCTATATCCCCTTCACTGGCTGCTGCAGTGCAGGGGCTTTTGTAGCATTGCAAGAAAGTGATGATACCTCACCCCATGACTACAGATGGCTTCACCCAACATGTAGATATTAAACAGGACTGGAGAAAGTACTGAACCCTGTGAAACCGCACCTCTTGCTCCCAATCAACACCGACTGGAACCAGACATGAAGGAAGGAGAATCAGCACAATACAATGCCACCCATCCCCAACCCTTGTAGCTGGTCCAGGATACCATGGTTGATGACATCAAAGGCTAATGTGAGATCAAGTACAGCAAGGATGGCTGCACTACCCCATCCCACTCCCACCAGAGATCATCTAAAAGCTTGAACAATGCAATTTCAATCTCATACCCAGGCCTGAAATCCAACTGAAAGGGGTCCAAATAATCCATTTCATTCAGGATCCTCTGAAGTTGCTGAAGCTGAAGCTTCCTTAAAAATGGAAGGTTGGATACAGGACAAAAAATGTCCAGTGTGGTTGGGTGTAGTGATGGCTTCCTGAGAAGGGAGCAGATCAACACCTCTTTAAGGGACAGAGGAACCACCTCTCTCTCAAAGAGGAGTCTACCTTTGCTAAAACCCAACCACATGTAACCTCCTGAGAAGCCTTTGCCAGCCAGGATGGGGATGGGTCTAATCAGCAGATGGCCAAGCTCACACTCATTAGGACCCTGTCTACTTCCTCAGGTCCAACAGGTTCAAACTCATCCCAGATAACATGGCTAGACTGTATCCCAGACACCTCCACAGGACTTATACCAAGGCCAGCATCTAACTTGGAATGAATCCAAGCAATTTTGTCTGACAGATGCTCTGCAAAATTTTCCATGCAGCCCAGGTGGCTATCCCTGAATGCAATAGGGGCGGAGACGTACTAATGCCACAAGGTAGGCATTAATAGTGGCTCTGTGTTCAGTCAAGTTCATTCTTGGTTGACCTCCTGCAGTGCTCTTTTAATCTGCTTCATCTCCCTCAACTCTTCTATAAACCATGGAGAGTGATGGGATCCACGAAAAGACAGAGGCCACATAGGCAACATCCTATCCAAGGCCTCTGCTCCCCTCTTATACCAGGTGATGATGAAGGCCTCTGTTGTACCATGCAGAAAACCATCAGGAACAATCCCCAGCTCCCTTTGGAATCCATCCAGGTCCATCAGTGACGGGGGTGGACCAATCAAATAGGTCCTGTCGCCCTGCCATGGGGGGGGGGGTAGCGCCAGAAACTCCCATGGTTATTAGGGTGTGATCTGATCATGACAAGTGACCCGCAGAGAGCTCCCCCAATTGCAGATCACACTGCCACCGCTCCAACAAGAAAACCAGATCAGGTGTGTGATTACTGTCCTGTGTTGGGCCCTAGATGATCTGGATATACACATAAACCAGGGTTTTCTGGATAAATATGTACAGGATTTACTATTATTTACTTCTCTCACATATAACTTAATACAACATGGAGATCCCACAGGCAGGACAAGCAGTCATCTACCAATCAACGTAAGAAATGAATGATGCCATTCCATCTTTTTTAGACAACCTCAAATCATCCTATTTATTTTAATGAATTTAATTAAGATTAATTTGAAGCCAAAATATCCTATTTCCCTTTTTTCTCCCCTTTTCTCAGTTTGAGCATGCAAAGAACTTATTCACATTATAAACCTCCCCATTAACTGAAAAGCAGTAGTGCATAGCTAGGTTTCCTTCAATCTGGTATCTTCCCATCTTTCTCAAACACCTTAGCCATTGGTGATATTGTCTGAGAATGACATTTGTTGTCATCCATTACAACTATGGGGAAAGCTGAAGTAGTAGTTAACCTATTGGCCACTAAAAGAAAGAAACCTGAAAACATATTTTTCATCCACCATGAAGATTTTTGAGGAAATCTTGGGCGTATACCACATCATTCTAAAATAACCTTTTTATCTATACATATTTAATGAGAACATGAAATGGTACCTTGGGTGGCATCCAATCTTTTTGGGAGAAGTTATAAGTAAATATTATTATAAACTTTGCATATAATAGTTTATCATAAAGCCAGCTGTCAGGAATGTAAAAAAAGAACCTCTATAGCTCATAATTTGATTAGAGAATAACATTTTAGAATAAGGTGAACTTGTCCTTAAAAACCTTAACAGAAATTTTGAGTATCTGACAAATATCCTGTAAAATAGAGCCCATCATTAGTCAAATTCAAAGACAAAGCCTGTCGTTTTTTCTCCCACGTTGGAATAAAAAAGGTGCAGGATCATGAATTTTGGATTGGGGGTGAATGGAGGAAGAGAGTTTTGTCTTCTCTTCCTGTGCTAATCCACTGATGTCAATTCCTCTCTGAATCTGATGCTAGTTGTGGAGAAGAAAACAACGACATATTCCTTGATTTCTACAGTACAGCAATCTGGTGGGAGGTAATTTAAAAGCAGCAATCAGTGCATGGGAAGAGATTCCCTCTCAAGTCTACCAGGTTTGTGAATTAGTATCTCCTCCTCCACTGGTCCTACAGAGTATTGAAACATGTAGAGTTAACTTTAAATTTACTGGTATTTTACACTTTGGTAGAATTTACCAAGTGTAATAAAGAGCTGTAATATCCTTCCTTTATATAAGTGTGAAAGACTGGTGATATGTGGAGCCTCCAGGGAAGATAATGTGAAGAAAAATAAAATTGGATAAAATGGTTAATATGTAATGATGCCAGTGGTAATTAACTTTTAATCAGCCCTGTGTCTAATTCTTACCTTGCATTTAGATTTAGAAATGGTAAAAAATAAAATGGCTTGAAATGGCTCCTAGCAGGATGAAGAAAAATGGATAGCAGAAAAAGTAGACAAGCCAAAAAACAATGAAAGAGCATAAAGATACAGAAGTCCATAGTGAAAACAGATGTTTGTGCTCTTAAAATTAAGAGACCCTTCAACTTCCCATTCTTATTCCCATTTAATTATTTGTCCCTTCTAAAATGTCTGCCCCATCTTATTTGTAAATGCTCTTTTAATGCAAACAAAACTGCTAAAATTTGTAGGCTTATTTCTTTTTTCTATTGTGCTCAGTTGTGAAACTTGGAAGAAAGAAGATTTTGGTTTATAGCTTGTAGTTAATAAAGAAAATGTTACAAGTTATCTCAATGCCTTTAAAATAAATACTATTTCTTGGGAACTAAGAGATACATGAAGGTGGATCCAAAGTTCTAGGAAGGAACATGACTGAGAGGCAACAAATACTTTTCCTTCTACTCAAAACCTGAGCAGACCAAATTCCTCCTAATCCTTCAATGAATTACACTCGCTTTCTAAGAGTGTTACTTTTTAAACTTTTTGATCCTGTATCTGTGCAAACTATTCACAGACACAGGATCCCTTCCTTTAAGCTTACCCTTTTAACTGGCGAGCTCGAGCAGGTAAGGGGCTAGATTCAATTCAACCTCCAGACTGAATCCAATTCCCCATTCTGCTATAGACAATAATCTTCCAGCAGGACAGTGATAAATGTGATTACAGCGACACTAGCAACTGATTTCTAGCAGCTACATATATACACCTCTTTCTGGGTAGAGGTAGTCTAGGTTATCCACAAAAGTTGTTTGGGGCTCACTGTCATTTGGTCATTCTTTGTCATTTATGCATTTATCTATTTAAACTACTTGTATACTGCTTCTCATTTACAAAAAAAGAAAAAAGAAACCAAAGTGATTTACAGTCACTTCCTTGTGTAAACTGTACTTCTTCACATATAATAATATATACATAATACAATTCAATAACTTATTTTAATAATCTATTCTGAGAATTGTTTCTATTTTTTTCTATAGCACAATGCTAGCTGGCCTGTAGTACCTACATATCAAAAATTAGGTTTGGGTAATCCTGAATAGAAGGAAAACATTATTTGCAAATGGCTAGAATAACTCCAATGCAATGTACTGCTTACATCTTCCCAACATGCTTCAACTGATAAATGATTATTCCAGATTATAAAAAAGAAAGAAAGAAAGAAAGAAAGAAAGAAAGAAAGAAAGAAAGAAAGAA